GCCCTGCCCCCGCCCCCCTCCCCCGCACCCACCTTTGTGCATCTGGTTCTCCTGCTTGCGGCATTTGGCTCTCCGGTTCTGGAACCAAACCTGGGGGCGGAGCGGACACACGTGCAACCTCGTCGTGAGCGCAGGCAAAGCCTGCTTTCCGGAGGACGCCGGGGGCTGTGCAAGGCGCCTGGGGTTCCTGCCCCCACCCCCAAAGCTGCCTGTGGGCCCCCTCAAGGCCTTCCTCCGCTGCCCCCGTCTCCCCAGACCCAGCGCAACGGGGCACCTGCGGCTGCCACGTGTCCTCAGCTAAGTGGGGCTAGAGGGTTAGCATCCATGAACGGAAAGCGGGCAGGTGCGTCCTCCGCTGTGCTGAGTCGCTCAGTCCTGTCTCACTCTGTGACCCCGTGGACTGCAGCCCGCCAGGCTCCTCCGTCCGCGGGATTCTCCAGGCAAGGATACTGGAGTGGGTTGCCATGCCCTCCTCCAGGGGATCTTCCCCACCCAGGCATCGAACCCGGGGCTCCTGCATTGGCAGGCGGGTTCTTTACCACCTGCGTCACCAGGGAAGCCCAAGAGGGTCCTCGGGTGGCCGTGGAGAACCTCCTGTCATTTCGTGTGGGCAGCCCCCACTCCAGCCGGTCAGCCCACTGGTCCACCTTGACCTTCCACCCCGACTTTCCACCTCCTCCTGACCAGCCTCCTCCCTAATCAAGCTCTGGGGTCCAGGAACTTCCGCGTCCTCCAAGGCACCCTCCCCCTCCTTGGAAGCCTGGAGGGTCCCAGCTACACATCCCAGAGTCATGACCATCCTTGATTCCCAAAGACTGGGTGCACACACGCCCCTCCCACAAAATGCAGGCCCCGGACTTCAGGTGCAAGAAATGTTAACTGGAGGGGCTCCTAATCTCTTGCAAGGGTGTTGAGACCCTTCCCAGGCCAGCGAGCATCACAGGCCTGACAAGACTGGGGTGTAAAGCCCCACGCCACCCCTATGCCCTGTCCAGCCCTCGCCCGCACTGACTGTCCCCCTCCCTGCAAACAGCCCCATGCAGAAGGCATCCAGGCCTTTCCCTCCGTCTAGGTTCCTCAGCACTTGTTTTCCCTTCCTGACTTTCTCCCAGACTCCCCTCCGGCGTCCCTCACCCTGCCCCCTCTGGGGTGCTCCAGGATCTCCCAGGATGACTGGGCCATGCCCCACCTCTGGGGGGAACTTGGGTTTCCTGTGACAGGGCCTGGGGCCACTCCTGTCTCCCACCCTGCCCAGGAACACCTCAGCTCCCATGGAGGCTGCAAATAGCCTGGACTGCAGGACACCTGAACTTCTCCCTCGCAGCCTCTTAAGGGCCCGTTTTCCATCCTCTAGGACGAGCCTGTCCTAACAGAACTGACCCCCCCCCCCAAGCCTGGGAAAACTCACCCCACCACACTGCAGGGAGCCTGGCAAATTTGGATGCCCCGCTGCTCCAAAAAGAATTTTCCAAAAATGTGCGCCCTCTCAAGACGTGGAGATTCCCAAATCCAGATTGCATTTCCAAAGCCTGCACTCCGATTCCTTCCCCACCCGCGAACCGCCCCGAATCTCCGCCGCCTTGCACTCAGCTTGGGACTGGACCTCTCTCTGTTTCCGACCCTTCCTGGACACTGCCGTCTCCTTGAGGTCCGGAACCCAGCCATCTTCAGGAAAGGATGTGAAAATTCGGAGCCAGACACGAGACTTCTGAACCACCCCCACCACCACCACCAAGGGCATTTTTTCCCCGAAAACAGAATCCTATTTAAACCTAAGAAAGAAAACTCACTTTCCCTTCAGCACGGGGAAAGAAGAAGAAGAAAAAAAATAAGATTACTGGAGAATAAAAGTGATGAATTAGCCACTGCGTTCGGCGGTAATAAATCAGTCTTGGGGTGATTCACGATCAATTCCAATTAGTCCTGAATATGCTAAGTAAAGCACACAACAGTGGTTTAGACAGTTATTTCTTCATTAAGGATCACTGGCTGATTTCTCTCACAAATGCTGTAATCTGATTTCCTTTTGATTTCCATTACAGACAGTGAATAATGACATTTAATTTAGCTCTGCGCCATAAACCCAAAGATATTTGTCGTAATTAAATTACCGCCCGCGCCTCACCGTGGTCTCATAACTTTCGATTATAACCCTGACAGCTGGGTGATATGAGTTTTCCAGTACAACACTAAAAATAAAAGGTTAATAAGGACCAGCTTCCAAAGGGTCTTCAATTTATTTACAGCAAATTTCCACTCTAAATTGAAACACTATCCTCTAACAACAGAGGACAGCCTGTACGGAAAAGGATTACCCAACAGTTCAGACTCAGGATTAAAATATAGTGCATTTTCGGCCCTTCCTTTTTGAGTCCACCTTCCCCCTTGGCTTGGCACAGCAGGGTCCGAGTTTTAACTAATTGGTTTTTATGACCACTTTCTGCCTTCTCTTTATTACACGATGCTTTTCCCCGTGGCCAAGTGGAAATTATTTCTTTTCTTCTATTCCCATGTTTATTTTTATTATTATTTACAATCGTTAAATTTTAATCCAACTCCGGATCAATAGGCCTGCGCGCCTCACTTTTCCCGTTTTCCCACCTCCCGCCCCCCCCCAACCTTTTTTTTATTTTTCTTTTTTTTTCGGGCTTTTCTCAAGATCTGTAGCCGCCCAAGAAGCAATTTTCTGCCAACTCGGTCTCTCCTGCGAAGGTGCTATTCAGTAATAGACTACTGAAAGAAATAGTGCGGAATTAAATTACAAGTAATTTATTTTTATAGAAACAGTACATCAAGGCCTGGGAGATATTACAGATCCCGGGCAGAAAGGCTCTGAAATGACATAAAAGTTGATGTCCCCTTCAGCAAAAGTTTAATCTTTTCATTAATTTATATAGGGCAGCCCCATCCATCTTGACGGAGAAAGGTGGCCAGGAGTCCCCCCCTCACCGCCGCGCGCCCCTCCTCGCCTCGGCCACAGACGCCGGGACAAATTGGCTCGGGGACGCAGTCCCCCCCAGCCAGCCCGCCCGCGGTCCCAGGGATGCGGGCAGCATCACCGCGTCAGGACTCGGAGAAACCTGGACACGCTGGGGGGGCTGCGGCATCTCCGCCCAAGCAATCCCAGTTACCGCGGCGGCAGAGAGGAAAAGGGATGGAGATAGAATGCAAACACCTTCCTCCTCCCCCGCCCCCCGCCCCGCTCCCCAAATGAAAGCTTTTGTAAAACACAGTCTCTGAAACCCTCCCGTGTTTTCGTTTCATGCGTACAATCTCAGCCCAGTTGCGTTTAAAGACGTTGATGCTACAGCAACGGGAAAGCCGTTCTTTCAAAGCCCCGGCTGTCCTCGGCCCCCTCCCCCCGCTGGCTGCATTAATTCCATTTATTTAAATAACCAGTCCCCGGGGCCCAGGGACCGTGACCCTCCTTTCCTCCTCTCGGGCTCTGGTGTCCTGCCCGGGACCGTCAGCGCCGCCGGAAAAGCCCAGCACGACGGGCAGGCCCGACCTTCGGCAGCGCCTGCGGATGGGGGGCGGTCTGCCCGGGGGCCTCTACCACCCTCCCCCGTCCACAAACTCGTCCGCTTCACTTCCGCGTGTACAGCAACCCCGAGGTTAAAAAAAAGCAGAAACAAACAGCGAAACCATCCGGGAGCGCCCCCTCCCCCGCGCACGTGCGCAGGAGCACCCCCCGCCCCCAGCAGCCGCTGGCTCGCCAGATGGGGACACCACCAATTCCAAGCGCCCGCGTCGCCGCCCCTGCGCGCCCCCTCCCCGGTCCCCGCCCGGCGCCCCGGCTAATCCGGCCCCGCGCGGGCGGGAGCCTCAGTCACCGAGAGGCGGAGGGCGAGGCTGCCAGGCCGGGCGCGCGCGAGGCCTCGGGGAAGCCTCCAAACGCCCACCCCAGCCCCGGGGTCCCGCGCGCCCCTGGAAAGGCGCCGGCAGCCCCGGGCCGAGAGGGCGCGCTCCGGGGGCCGGGGTCTCACCTGCACGCGCGCCTCGGAGAGCCCGAGGCGCTGGCTGAGCTCCTCGCGCATGAAGGCGTCGGGGTAGTGCGTCTCGTCGAAGAGCCGCTCCAGCTCGTTGAGCTGCTCCAGCGTGAAGTTGGTGCGGCTGCGCCGCTGCTTCAGCTTCGTCTGCCCGTCCTCGTCCTCCGACTTCACGTCGTCGCGCTTGTCCTTGCAGTCGTAGAGACCTACGAGCGGGCCGAGGGCACAGCGCTGAGGCCCCCCGCGCGCCCCGGCCCTTGATCCCCAGCCCGAGACCCCCGGGTCCCCCGCAGAGACCCTCCTCCGGCTCCCGCCGGTCCCGCGCGCTGGGAACACCGGCCCCGCGCGCCGCGAACAGGCCGCGCGCCGGGAAGCTTCGGCTCGACGTGGCCGAACGCTGGGTGGGCCCACGGGGCGCAGGGCCTCGGCGGACAACGCGCCCTGACGCAAAGCTGCGTGGAGCAGATAAAGCAAACTCGCAGGCAAGACGCGCTCTTTTGTATCTGACTCCAAACCTCGGCCTGGCTGGTGTATTCTGGCCTGATCTCCGAATACTTTCCTCAATTATCCACTTCGCCTCTGTTGACATACTGACAGAACCTAACACACACACCCTTCCTCTCTTTTTTTGGAAAGGGAATGGGGTGTTATTATTAAGTTAAAACACACATAGGCAGAGTCGCTCAAGTACGGGGCCCCTGGCGGCGGCTCCCGCAAACAGCGCAGGGAGAGCCCAGCCTGGCTGGGGCTCCAGGCCCGGGAGAACCCTTGTCCCCCACCGACCCCGGCAGGACAAGGGGCTGCTCCAGCCGGGCTAGAGCCTCCTTCAGGTCGCCACAGAGTGGGGCGATCGGCAGACGTCGTCTCCCTCCGATCAAGAAAGCAAAGAAAAAAGAGAAGTGTTAGTCGCTCAGTCGTGTCTGACTTTGCGAGCCCATGGACTGTAGCGCCAGGCTCCTCTGTCCATGGGATTCTCCAGGCAGGAATACTGGAGTGGGTTGCCATGCCCTCCTCCAGGGCATCTTCCCCACCCAGGGATCACACCGCGGTCTCCAGCAGTGAAGGTGGATTCTTAAATGTCAGCCACCAGGGAAGCCCTCCCAAGAAGGCAAAGCCGTATCTTAAGGGACGCAGGAAGGCGTCTAGGGGTGCCCCCAAGAGCACAGTTTCGACTTCCTGTTTTGCCCTTCGATCTCTCGGACGCATTCTCACGCCCCAGCAGGACGCCAGGAGTGCAAACTCTCTTCGGTCCAAAAATTACAGGAGCATCTGTATTTGCTGGGGGAGGGGGCAGTAAGGTCAGGATCAACCAGACTCTAACCCAGACACCTCTCCTTTCCACGTCCAGGAAATGCAGGCCCACACCAAACTCAGGGATTGAAAATAAAAGTTGGTTCCCCAGTCTCGGAGTTGGTGGAAGCCAAAACCCCTGATGTTGGGAAAGACTGAAGGCAGGAGAGAAGGGGACGACAGAGGCTGAGATGGTCGGATGGCATCACCGACTCAATGGACATGTTTGAGTAAGCTCCGGGAGATGGCGATGGACAGGGAGGCCTGGCGTGCTGCGGTCCATGGGGTTGTAAAGAGTGAACAACAACATTTTAGCAGCCTGTGTGCTTTTTCCTCTGATCATAGGGGCTACGGGGGGTACAGGCAGAAAGGTCTCCCAACGCCCTCATTAGATGTCCCCTCTGGGCCAAGGAGAAGACAGTGGCCTCCCGTAAAGTCTCTCCAAAGAGTCTGGGCTCCCACGACTTCTGAAGAGAGTCCACAAGCGCGCTGCAGAAGCCGTGAGCCTGGAAACTTGCAAAGGGGGAAAGACTCAAATTCTCCCTGGGGCCAGGGGAGAAATCAGTGAAGCCAGCCTGTCCCCCAGCGGGGGTTCCGAAGATGCTCACTAGCACTGAGGTCCTGAAACGTCTCTCCTCAAGGCTCCTGGGCACCCAAGGCCCTCTCACCTCCTGAGACGGATGCCTTGCCAAGGATGCCCTGCTCCTCCACCACCGGGGGAAAAAATCCCTTTCCCAGCAGCAGCCCCACCTTGACTTCGTCATGCACTTGTCTTAAGCCTGAACCCCAGGGACTTGACCCTAGAATGAGAGGCTGGCCTTGAAAGGCAGCCCTGCAGAGGCAGCCTTCCGCAGGGCAGGCTCTGCAGAAACCACAGGCCCAGCGGTTACACGCGATCCGGGCGCCCAGCATCTCCGTGTCTCTCCAGACCCCAGTGCCTCCCACTTCTCCGTTCTGCCAGTTCGGCCGGGGGGCTCGGCCTTTCTGGGGGGTCAGGGTGGTGTGCAGAGCCAGACAAGAGAGGAGCCACTGCCATGTTTCTCGCTTCCACTTTTTACAGCCCTTTCTCTTCCTGTCTATTTAAAACAGAATATAAAAAGGCCTCGGTAGTGCTCTGCCCTCTCTCCAGGTGCCGACTGCCAGGGTTCTGCTGTCCTGACTGTCCAGGGGTGAGAGGAGGCCGGCAGTGGGGGAATTCAGCCTTTAAGGAGGATGGGGGAAGCCTTGAAGGGGCCCAGGAGGTCAGGCGCCAGGCACTGTAAATTAAAAGTAGGCCTTGACCGGGGCTGGGGCCGGCAGACAGTCACGTCTCCATCAAAGCACACCGTCTTTGTGGGAATTACACGGCCAGGTGCGCGAGGCCTCGCCAGAGGGTGAGCCCCAGAGGTAAGATGATCCCGAACCCAGGCTGGGGGACTCTCAGGGGTCCGGGGCTTATCCTAACTAAGCCTCCGCCAGCCTTCTGCCTCCGCGAAGGTCAAGGTTTCCAAAGGCCAGCCTTGAAGCCCTCCTGCCGGGACTCCCCCAGCGAGGTGTGGGGCCCACGGCCTTCCAGGGGTCGCTAATGCCGACCCCTCTCAACACTGCAAGAGGAAGACACGGGGACCCACGCCCCATATGGCAAGCTTCTGTTTCTCCTCGCTTTGTCATGAGAAATATAGACCTTAGAACGCTTTCAAACGCTCCCCGCTGAGAAATCCAGCCAGTTTTATTCCTCTGATTTATAGCTGCCGGCTGCCCTGTTTGCAGGGAAATCCGCCCCCGGTGGGGACCGTCTCGGCCCCGCGGAGAGAACCCTTGTAAACAAGCCTCCCCTCCCAGCCGACGACAGCGCCAAAACGCTTCGGAGATTTCAGCAAAAGCCGCAGGATGGGGGTCCTGCAGGAGGGCCCGCTGCGCCCTGCCGGCTGGGGTCTGGGCCGCCGCGCCCGCGCGCGCAAGGGGTTCCCGAGCCTCCCCGGGCCCTCCTGCCCCGCGCAGACCCTGACCACTGCGGACACAGGGCTGGTCTTAATTTCACGGGCCCCGCGGCAGCCAACATCAAGGGGAAGTTCTCCCGAAGAGGGCCCGGGGCGGAGAGGCGAGGGAGGGGGCCGACGCCTGCCGGCCGGCGCTTTCCCCCACGCGACCCATTTCTAGCGGGGGAAGCGGGCAGGCGAAGGGCGCCTGGAAAGAGGTCCGGGGCTCGTCCCGGGGCGCACACACAGCCCGGCGGGCACACGGGCGCGCAGCCGCCAGCCTTACCCTCGCCCAAACACCCGGCTCGCTCTCCATGCGGGGAAAGGGCCTGCCGCTGGCAACCAATGACAACGCCTCCAACCCCCCGCGGGGAAGCGGTGCGCGCGGGCCCAGCGCCGCCGCCCGCCCTCGGATCCAGCGCCTCCATCCGCCCCTGCCTCCTCGGTTCTCCGGCCGCTTTCTTTCTTACGAAAAAGCCTGGCGACGGGTGGCGGCCGGGCCCTTCTGCGTTCGAGCCGTGGCTGTCAATGTTCAGCGTTTTGGGGGCGAAACGGAGGGCCCACCGCGGCGCCGAGCGAGACGCGGGCGGCCGGGCTCGGTGGCCACGGGAAGCGCCGTGCCCGGGAGGGGCCCGGATCCTGCGTCCGGCCCGGCTTACCTTCCGCCGCCCTCCCCGAACCGAACTCTTTGAGTTTGTCCTTGTCGGTGTCCACGTGGTCCTTAAAGAGATGCAGCGGGCAGGGGCCGCCGGCCTCCGCTATGTCCTGGAGGTTGGACTCCGAGACCCCCAGCTCCCGCGAGCGCGCCAGTCCGCTCTCCAAAACTTCCCTGTACGTGATGGACTCTTTCTTGCCGCCGCCGCCGCCGCTGCCGCCGCCGCTGCCGTCTTTGCTTTTCTGGTCAAAAGATTTGGATACAAAAGCCGTGAGTTCTTCCATGGCTGCCTGGGGGTGTGGGGGTGGGAACGGGGGGGGGGCCGCGGGGGTCCGCGGGGCTGGCGAGGAGCCGGGCTGTGGTCCGCACGCCTCCCGCGCGCGGAGAGGACCGTCCGTGTGAAGGCAGGTCCCTCCTGCTGTTATTTATGCCTTTCAATTTGAGATCTCACTATTTATACGCGGCTACCTCTGCGCCCAACCCCCAACGCTCTCTGTCGGCTGCAATTACAGCTCGCGGCTCCGCGGCGGGCGCACGCGGAGGCGCTATCTCTCCCCCACCTCCAGTCCGGCAATTGGTTTTCTTTTGATTTCATCACTGTTTGGCGTCTGTGGCACCTTGGTGTGGAGCGGTAAAGATCAAGTTTTTGAAGGGAGAGAGAGAGAGAGAGAGAGACGGATGTGGAGAGAGAGAGGGAGCGCGCGCGCGCGCAGGGGCGCAAAGCGCCAGCGCCGCGAACAGGTATCCGCGTTCTCTCCATGGCCGGCGGAAAGGAAACTCAGGAGGAGTTTAGGGATGGCGAGGACGTCCTCGGCGGCCCGGCACCGGGAAGAGCGCCGCAGCCTCGCTCCTCGAATCTGTTCCCCGCGGGATGCGGCGTCTGGGCGTGGCCGCACGGAGACGCCACTGAGGGGACCCCGGGGCGGCGGTGTTGATGAGCCATCCCACGGGAAGAGTTGACCCCCAACTTGGCGATGCGCTTGGGCACGGCGTGGCTGGGCCCGCCGGAGCGAGTGTGCGCGCGCGCGCGCGCGGCCTGATCCGGGGAACAGTTGGAGAATCCCGAAAGCGCGAGGAAGGGCGAACGTAGGTGCCCGAGTCTCCGCGGCGGCGGCGGCGGCGGCTGGGCAGAGCGGCTCGGAGACCTCGGAGGGGCCGGAGTCACGGACCCTGCGGCCCTCGGCTGCCCCGGGCGCGCGAGTCCAGACGCGGAGAAGCCGGCGGCTCCCTCGCTGGGAGAACCGGTTCGTACACAGCGGTCCTTGGGGGCGCCGGACCGACGCAGCCTTCTTGTTCGCGCAGTGCTGTCAGCCTGGTGTCTGAGAGATTTATTGGGGGCGGGGGGGAGACATCCATGTATTTTTTCTTTTTTTTTTTTTGCTTCTGCCGTGGTTCTTCTGACCAGACCCTACCTCTCTCGGAACGCTATAACGTGCTTTTAAAAGATCCACTTTTCCTCAACTGCAATCCGAAATGCACTTGGCAACCCCGGCAGCTACACAAGCTATGCACTCTGCAAAATTCCGTCTGCAAATAAAGTGACTTTCCTGCCCCCTCCCCGCCTTTATTTTTGCTTTCTGTCATCTCTCCTCTTGGCCCCTTCCACCTGCCCTTCCCCTCCGCCAGGGAGTTGGGACGAGGGGTTACCGGGGGGTGGAAGGCAGAGTGGGGGAGTGTTACGGGTTTTGGAGGAGTTCGTTTTGCAATTTTTCTGGAGTCAGTTCCTCATCCTGCGAAGCGCCGGTGAGCCAGAACCCAGGATCCGGGGCGCCCTGGGCGTCCAGCGTTTCCTTCCGTGGGAAAGAAAGTGAAGCCCCCAAGGTCGGGTTCGCACGGGGAGCACCTCGATCTGGGGGGTGGGACGCCAGGAAGGAGGGGAAGAGGGGGACGGGATGCAGACACAGCCGAGATTCCTTCTTTCCTTCATCCCGTCCTTCCGCGGTCCTGCCTCCCCGCCGCCCTCCCTCGCCCCCTCCGTCTCTTCCCCGGGTTTCCGTCCGGTCCTCTGCGCCCTCCGTCCACACTGCAGGATCGCTGAGCCCGGCGCTCGTGCGCGCGGCCCCTGGTCGGCTCGGCCCCGCGTGCGGCGGACGGAGCTGGGGGGTGGGGAGGACTGGGGGGGAGTCGGGGCGGGAGCGGGGGCCCGTGGCCTGCTCCCCCGCGGACTTCAAAAGCGAAAAGGCAAAGAGGCGCTCGCAGCTTGACAAACAGGGCTTTGTCACCGCCGCTGTTCTAATCAAAGCGGAGGCGCGCGCCTATCACACAGAAGTACAAATAGCCCGTCATGTATTAAACATGCAGCCGCCTCGCGGGTCTTCGCTGGGTTGGGGGAGACGCCGAGGGCCGCGGCCGGAGCTGGAGGGGGCGCGCGGGGTGGGGGTGCGGGGCGGCCCCAGGAGCTCCCAGTCCTGGCCACTGGCGCGCCACGCGCCCCGAGCCTGCCCCCGCGGTCACCCGGTCCACTGCGCGCGTCTTCCAGGTCTACGCGGTCATGGGGCCCGGCCTGCCCACCAGGGAACGCGGTGTTTGCAAGGAACAGTGGACTGACAGGAGCGGAAGGGAATGAAAGCGGACGGGGCCCTAAGCTTGAGCCACTTTCTGGAGTCTTCGGAGGGAAGGTAGCTCTTCCAGGCCTCAGGTGAGGAGGCCGGATCCCCAGGGACTGCGGGCCTGCAACCTGCGCCCCCTCCTTCCTCCCTGACCCTCCAGGCCAACCCGGGGACCCAGCCTCCCCTGGGGGGCACGTGGTAGCTGGGTCTTACAGGGCCTGAGTTTCAACTGCAGGGAACAGGGGGTGAGAAGTTGCAGGCCCCCAAGCCGGCCGCCCCCCATCCCTGGGACCTTGAACCCCACCCTAGAGGGAACACGCTGGGAGTTAGGGTCAGGCGGCTCCCAGGGGTCTCCTCCAGCTGGGTATCCAAAAACCTCAAGCCCAAGAGAGAATTAAAGTCACCCCCTTCCCAATTTTGATTCCCATATTTGATTCCCAGTAGGCACTTGTTTCCGAAATAATAACCCATCCTGGGAGGAAGGAAGCCGTCCAACCAGCTTCTTCTGTCACTCCCAAGGCCGTGCCTATGATAAGATTTTCACAAAATCAGTTTCTCCTGGTGAGCAAACCCTCTCTGCTCTCACTTTTCGGGAGTGAGGAGCCAGATGTCCCATGAACCCCTCCCCGTCTGTCCCTAGCTAGGGGCATGCACACATACACACACACACACACACACACGTGTGTGCACACACAGACACACACACAGCTCCTTAACCTTGTCACCTTTCAACCAGAGGCGGCCAAACCCACCCTCAGAGTTATTTTTCATATTTCAGCCTGGGCAAGGACTTTTTCGAACACATATTTTTGCTAATTCAAGTCGGTGCCCAAGGCCGCAGGGTGGGTATGGTTTATGAAATGTTACATTTACATTTCCGCCGGGGCAAGGTTCGGGGGGCTGGGGGGGGGCAGTTTGCCGGGAGCTCAGACCCTCCCGGGCATAAGGGGCTCTTGTTTCCAGTTTCTGCAGACTCTCCGCCAACCCCCGCACCTTCCCCCAGAGAAGAAGGGGCCCAAAAAGAGAGACCTTTTTAAAACTCTCAACTTGTCTTGGGAAGCTGTGGATGGTTTCATGTGTCCTCGCATTCTGCCAGCTTTGAAAGCGGCTTCAGAAAAGTTTGTGGATAGAAACGAAAGCATAGCTGCTTTCTTAAAAAAAATGAAAAAGACGCCGTGGGCTGGGCTGGGCTGGGCTGGGCTGGGCTGGGCTGGGCTTGGCTGGACTGGGGAGCAAGAGACCCGGGATCTGGTTTCTGGGAGAAGACGGAAGTTCCAACGTGGATTTCACCAGAAGCTGGGAACACACCCCAGGGCTCTCCCGGGGTGTGGATCCGAGGCCCACTGCTCAGAAACCCCCCGGTGAAGACAATGTACTAATATGGGTCCCGGGAGTCTGACCCCTGCCCTCGGTCCACCTGGGAAGAGGCGCAGACACAGATGCAATCTAATGAAATAATAATTGCAGGGATGCTTTGTGCTGCGGTGGAGGGCAGGGTCTCTGACTGAAGGCAGGAGGACCGGGGGTCTTTCTGCAGCTTGGAGACATCCCCAGGCCTGTGTTGGTCTAGGCGTGCCCACAGACCCAGGCCCCAGCTTGGTAGGCTGGGGGAAGTGAACATCCCGAGAACGGTTGACAGCCAGCCTGCCAGGGCGTCCCCCCCACAGTTGGCAGGAGCTAGCAGGGGGCCCTGGCTGGGAGGGACCCTCCTTGCCCCCAACCTGAACTGTCACACATGGGCCCTGTCCTTTCAGATCAGATTTCCTGAATTCCTGAGGACCCCCCAACGCAGGCCGAGGCCACACCGGCGTGGTGCAGAGCTAGAGCACTGTACCGCGTCACTCACCCCGAGTTACTGCAGTCAGCCCGCCCGCCCAGGCTTCCTCTCCGAACCCAGGCTGAGCTAGAAAGCTCAGACACCCTGGTCCCCAGGGGCAGAAACTGCTAGATTCAGCCCCCCGTGTGCGTCCTGGACCCTTGGAGCAGGGCAGGCAAGGTGCGGGCAGGGCGGGGGGACGGGGTGGCGGTTCTGCCCACTCTCGGTGCTCCCGTCACCCACAGAAAAGAAATGACTTCTCAGTGGCACTTCCCTACATTCCTCTGAACTTCAACGTGATCTTCCGGGCTCCTGCACCCAGCCCCGAGCCCCCAGGATATCTGGGGAAAGAGTCCGTGGACACAGCTGACCACCGCCCCCCAACACCCCTACAACCACTGTGGACCCGGGCACAGACTGTGGACTGCGGGAGCTGGACCCTGGCCACGTTCGATCTTGGGGAATAATCTGACTTTCCCCGATGTGAATTAGGTAGATCTTAATGAACTACAGCTGCCCGTTTCCCTGTATTTGGGAGGCCAGCAGGGCGGGGGAAGGTGATGAATATTCAGACATTTCATATTTGGTTTATCTGAGGCTTCCAGGGCAGGGCTCCGAGTGTTCACGTTCAGCCCAGGGACACGAAGCTCCTGTGACCCCAACCGATTGACTTGAAATGAAATTTCTGAGCTTCTTAAAAGTGGGGTAGAAGAGGCCGCCGTCTGGTGGGGGGAAGGGCTTCCACGCCCCCCGGGGAGGGTTGGTGGGAGTCACCCACTCACTTCTGTCTCCCCAAAGCCCAGCAACTTTCAGACCCACCGGCCACCCCCAGGGTCATCTTTGCTGCCCACGGAAACAGGAATTTTCAAGGAATGCCCCTTCCGTTTGGCCCACTTTCTCAACCCCTAATTCAAAAGAC